ATCTTGGCTCGGGCCGTTCTGTCTGCAATTTTTTTCCTCCCGCTCATTAGCGCGACCAGCCTAGCGTGTACCTTACCTCTCGCCCAACAGGATAAGCAGTAGATGGATGGAGGTTTATTAAAAATAGTCGGTGATTAATGTCGTTTTCACCCGGCTTTTCAATATTAAGTTCAACCCCGCACGTATCGTTTCCACGTTTCGTACACAGAGGCGTGCTAATTTCCGGTTACTCGTCTTAACATGTAACGATAGCATTGATATGCTCAAACTCTTTAATGATTCTCTCCGTGTAATCTGTCATTAAGTTTGCTAACTTAATGTTATGTCATTAAGTTTGGTAACTTAATGACACATGCTCTTTCTGATTGCTCAAGTTATCCAAGTGTCAGTGAAGCAATCGAAGCACCATATCTGACTTAATGAGACGTTTGCCGTTTCGCGGGACCTGTCGGGGCCGTCTGTGCGGAGACTCGCATGCTCAAGTCTAACGTCCTCGAAAGAAAAACAACACACACACACACAAAATAAAATAGAAAGCCTTTATTGTCACGTTCTATTGGGCGGATACAGCAAAACTGAGGTGACGAAAACACGAAAGACAACCAAGAATGATAATGCCAAGCATATACTACTAATTGTAGGATGAGGATAAATAACCCTGAGAGTGAGTGAGAAAGAGCTCAACTGCGTGACCTGCCTGAATGCCAAGCAAGGAGAAACGGAGAGAAATACGGACACGGCTACCATGTATTCCTCTCTGCGGGCCATCTGATGGGCGCTGTCTAGAAAAAAAAAAAAAATCCTCTCAGACCAGATCCCAAAAAGTTCGATGAGCTTCTTCCATTCTTCTGTAATCGCAGTGTGTCACAATACCTCATGTGTGTTTGTGTGTGTGTGTGTGTGTGTGTGTGTGTGTGTGTGTGTGTGTGTGTGTGTGTGTGTGTACCTGGATCTTTCAAACACACTGTGTGCTGTCTTGTAGGATGAACAGTGACAGCCCCGCCTCAGCACCGAGTTCAACACCTGAGGTCAGAAAACTACGAAGGTTAGTCAACCGTTGCATCACATTCCATGAACGGTGGCTCAACAGCGGCAACCATTTTTAGGCTCTTTTGTTTCATGCCGTGACTGCTCTGTGGTTTCCAGAAAAGGTTGCATCCAGCGCTCTGTCACCACTCCTGATGAGGTGAAGCCTGTCATGAGGTCAGTCCTCTCACGGCTTGACTTTTCCAATGAATTGAATGTATGTCACGATCAACAGCTACTCTGCCTGATGAAACATTCAGCATTCCAGTTTGAGGAAAAAAATAACAGCACGTGAACCGGCACAGTGGTACCTCTACTTACGAAATTCATTGGTTCTGGAAGAAATTTCCGAACTTGAAACTTTTGTAAGTAGAGACGCGTTTTCCATGTAAAAGCCCTAATCCGTTCCAAGCTCCCTCAAAATTCAGACAGAAATGTTTCCTAAAGCATAAAAATGCATCAAAATATGTAACAAATACACGTTACAATTAGATTGTTGCGCAATAAATGAGAGTTGTACATAATGTAAAAAACAAAGAATAAAAGAAAAAAATGATGGTCATTCAACTTTTAACTGCGTCCTCATCGTTTTTTTGCCCTCTTCAGTTCATGTTCTCTTTCAGAAGTGGTTTTTGCCTGGGGTGTTGTAAAGAACAGATCCAAGGACGTTTGCTTTGAACAATCCTTCGAAAATGTCCAAGGCAAACATCAGCATAGTGAGCGATCGCCCGACTGGTGAACACGTTTTCTGGGTGATTCACATTTACGTCAAACTGTCAGAACGCCTCGTGGCCCGAGGGGCGAATGACGAGGATGCTGCATAGACACATCGTTTTACACACATAGACACATATGGTAGAGGTCCCTCTTAGCCAATGGGATGCCAGGCTGATGCTCTGTAGTAGCCAATGGCAGAGCGGCTCTAAGGATGTCGCGTTCGGGAAACTCGGAGCTGCGCATCACGGGCCATACTTTATTTTTACCTCTCTTCAATATTTGCCTGTTGAGGCGTTTTGTAACTTGAACATTTCGTATGAAGAGACGTTCGTGAGTAGAGGTACCACCGTATTTAATATCACCTGCTAAGCATTCAGCACCCTTCTCGCTGCTGTTACGAAACAGAATTTTGTGCGTTTACGGGAGCGATAGGGAACTTTGATCCCCACCCTTTGAAACCCTCCCCGAATGCCACAGTAGCTGTGTTATGTTGATTTTTTTTTTTTTTTTTTAATCAAAAGAAAAAAAGTCAACAGTACTTAGCATGAGAAATTATACACAATTATTCATTAACAAGTAAGATGCCAATTTTTCTGAATTAAATGCAATTCCTTTTCAGGCGCATACTTCTGTTGATGAATTTACTGAATGAACCACAGCCTCGGTCACACATTGAGTCACACTTAGCGACACAATTAGGAGACAGACGTCGTGTCAACAATTTCACTGATGTATTCACAATGTACTGCCCACCAAAAGTATTGGAACAGGCTGGCCAATTTCCTTACGTTTGCTGCGAGAACTCATCAATGGACGCGACATGATGGGTTGAGTGCCGCATGTTATTCTTTTGATACACAGCTTTCAATTCATTGCAATCCAACCTCCAGTGGGGGGTTTTTTGTATTGTAAAGAAACAGAAAGCATGCCCGTAATTATTTGTGATGGTCTCTTTGCAGACTTGAAACGTGTCAAAAGTCAAGTGATGCAGGAAGAGAAGAAGAAAAAGGTACTGTGCACGCGCACGCGCATGACATGAATGTGGTTCATTTATGTTGCGCATGACACGCAACTTGGCGGTCTTGACAGCTTGTGTGTCTCAAGAGGAGGTAAAAAAAAAAAAAAAAAGAAAAAAAACCCTGTAGAAGGAAGCCAGCTTTTGTGATGCGATTCTCCTGTCTGACGCACAGTTTTCTCTCACTTTTCATGCAATTTGTTTTGCTGCTCTCTTTTTAACTGGAAGGGCGTCCGTCCGCGTGATGACACTGTCTCATTTCCGCAATCACCGAGTAATTTGTGTATCAAATTACCGGTATTGCTTATCGTGTCGCTAAATGGGCTATTCTGCCAGCTAAAGTCTTTCTTGTCTTTTAATTCAGGGTTCATTTTAAGTGGCAAAAAAACGTGACACTTAGGGGCTCCTCAAGTTTTTTTTTTTTGTTGTTGTTGAAATACTCACCTCTTTATACAGAACTCAATTATGGGCAGAAAAGCAATCTTGCAAAAATCATGGAGGGGTTCCTCAAGTCTTTTTTGTTTTTTGTTGTTGTTATTGTTGAAATACTCACCTCTTTATACAGAACTGAATTATGGGCAGAAAAGCAATCTTGCAAAAATCATGTCAAGGTATTGCCAGAGGACCAGAGAACATCATCCAATCAAATCATAGTTGGGGTTTCTTTCATCTACTGTAAGCTTCTGAATTCCCATGGAACTCGAGTTCCAATCTGAGTAACTTGAAAACTTCAGGTAAGCTTAATCGTGTGTATTTTTCCAAAGCCCTTTTGGTGTTGAAGAGTGCAAGAGTGCTATTCCGCACACATCGTCTTTTTTGAACCTTCTCATGTTTGCTCGTTTTTGACACACACTGACAGATCCCATAAGGTCAGCTAGCTTGCATCAAATGGAATAGTTCAGTGGAGCATGTGACGTGTGCGTGCGTGTGTATGTGAAAGGAGGGGGGTGGGGTGGGGGGGCATGCGTGCATTCTTAGGCAAGGATCTTCTACACAGTGAACCTTCATTTATCTTGTGGGACGTGTTCCAGAACCACCCGCGAAAGGTGAAAATCCACAATGCCGAGCCCATCTAATTTGTACATTTTGTACCTTTACCTCTCCTGCCCACTTTTTAAACACAGTCAAACTTATTACAACAGTCACGCATGGGCTAACAGAAAGTAGCCAGAGATGTTCCATAACTCCATCCATCCATTTTCCAATCCGCTTTATGTTTTCAATTAGCCTGCCACGCATGTTTTTGGAATGTGGGAGGAAACCGGAGTACCCGGAGAAAACACACACAGGCCCGCGGAGAACTCCACACAGGGAGGCCGGAGCTGGAATTGAACCCAGAACCTCTGCACTGTGAGGTCGACACGCTAACCACTGGACCACCGGGCCGCCTGTTCCATCACTCAAAACCTTCAAACAACGCTTACAGCATTCGACATTCATCACAGTCACTGCATACTGGCACCAAAGACATGAATGAAAAGAAATGAAATTGCTGATCACGGCAGGCTCGAATCAAATGTCCTGCTTATTTTCTTATGTTTCGACCACCCAGTCGCACACCGACACGCTTGCACAGCGTGTGGCACCGTGCAAGGCTGCAGCGAGGAAGGTGATGTGAAAAGTGGCTTGTGCAAGCACTGCACACAATTTTGATTCTCTTCGCTGTACTTAGCGAGCCTTTGAGGCACTTCCTGGCCGTTCTCTCTCCTGGAGAAACACAAGTATGGCGTTTGGAGTGTACAAGTGCTCCAGAAAATTAGCGCAACTCCCCACCAGGCGAGTAAGCTTGGAAGGTGAGTCGCCGTGCTCCATTTTTTTTTTTTTTTTTTGCGACTTAATTGACATCATCAAAGACGTAAAAGTAGTTTAGGAAATAATGTTTGTGCGAAAAGTAGGTGACTCTGTCATACGGGGAGGAAATCGCTCACAAACTCACATTTCAATTTGATTGCAACCTACCGAATGCGGGTTAAAATTGATTTTGCCTGCCGGTGATGCAATCGTGTCAGTCAGATATAGTTTGGGATGAGCATCAAGTCTTGGGAATGGATTGGAAGTGGGACTGTTCTCACGGCATTGTTTGTTTGCATTTTAAATTTCCAATTCCCCGTTACGGTTTCTCGTCCACCGACCGAACGAAGAACCAAGACCAGCAAGTGCACACCCGATGCCAATCACAAATGTGGCTTAACTTTGTTAAACTAAATAAGAGTCACCCCAGCACAGCAACTACATTTTATTCCTCGTGACTAAATATTGGGTCTTTTGTCCATGTTAAAATTACATCTGCCTTATGAACATTCAAGAAAACAAACCCAAAAAGAAATTTAGACGAACTGACAACAAAGAATAATTTAACCTATTTTGTTTTGGAAAAGATTTGAAGTGCATCCGTTTTCTTGAAATACAAATTAAATAAATGAGAGCACCACTGCCACCTACTGGAGTGGATGTGCGATGACATTTAATTCTTGTCTGGCAAATCAAGCATGTTCCCCAGGTCAATCGCACTCTCCTGGCATCACACCTAAAGCACCCCCCGTGGGTTGGGTTCCCATCCCCCAGCCCATCTGGACCTCCTCGCCCCCTGCCCCTGCCCTCCCTTTGAGAAGTACTGGTCTAGGCCTATATTAAAATTCATTTTTTACACATCATCCAGTGAGTAGCCTTTGAAATAAATGTGCAAAATACCACTGCCTCACCTGCCACGAACCTCACTGCCTGTCACTGATTAGCTTAGAGCGCGCTGGATTGATTTTAGCCTAACCTCAGACTCACGCAAATCAATTTACACGTCCAAAACAAAGGGTTTGTGAATTTAAGTCTCATTAGTCCACCTTCACAGAGGTGCTTGCTCCCAGCTTCGTGTTGCTGTAGTCACCTTTTGTAACGAGTAATGGCCTCAAATTCCTCCAGACTGTTGCGCGCGTCTGACCTGGAATTACACCAAACATTTGGCTGAGGTTATTGCTGCCAGATGAGGTTCAACCACAAAGTAAATACAAAGGTTCACATACCTCACACACACACACACACACACACACACACACACACACACTTGCCTGTGAATGTTTACTTGTCGTGTCTAATAAAACACAGAAACAGAAGACGGGAGCTTGGTTGGTATTAGTTGAAGAAGACTTTTTATGTATTGTCACGTAGATAAAGACCAGGTCCTTTTGTTTGCAACTCTATGTGTGTGTGTTTATCGTTCCAGCCACGAAAGCTCTTAAAGAATTTGTTTTTGTCATCTCCCCCCCCCCCATCCCACCTCCCTTCTTCCCTCTCCCTCTCTCTGCCTGCCTCACATAACTGGATTAGGTCGCTGCTTTTTAGAGTGAGGGACGGTGAGAGCAAGGATTGGGGTCAACTTAATGAACATTCATATCATGGCCTTGCTTCAGCCACACAAATACTTTGTGTAACAAAACTGTGATGGGGTTTTTTTTTTTTTTTGGAACTGTTGAAAAAGTTTACGTTCAAACCAAGGTCCAGGAAGAACATGCCAATAACAACTGACTATTTTGTTATATTTTATGTCATTTGTGTAAAATGAATCATAACTCACGTATTGAACATTGTTCAAACTGAAGATAAGATTTCTCATGGCAATGTCTTTGATGTCATTCTTTGGTGTCTTTACAGAGCTGTTGATGCAGTGTGTAAAGACCAACAATTTGAAAAAGGTGAGTGTGTGTTGGTGGGTGAACAAATTTGATCATGTTGCTCCGTCTCCTGTTAAACTTCCATTTTGACGCCATTTGTTGTTTTCTATTGTAAAGCTCAAGTGAATATATTTTTGTGTTTGCGGTGGGGAAAAAAGCTACAGGAGCTGCATGAGAAAGGATGTGACCTGACATGTGTTGACGAATCGGGCTGCAGCCTGCTGCACCACGCTGTCAGCGCGGGAAGCAAGGAGATGGTCCGCTTCATCCTTGACAACGGTAACTGCTCGTATGCCTCCGTGGAGGTCACGTGACTGCCTTGGAGTCCACTCATTTGCCACCTTCTTGAATTTCCAGCTCCAAAGGACCTCATTGATAAGACGGAAGACATTCAGTGAGTTCATGTTTGTCTTGAACGTAATTAAACGTATCACTTCCGGTACCTTGATTTATGACTTTCATTTATTCTGTGACCGAGCGTATAATTGTTTATACTTGCATAGTAAATCAATTTCCCCCCTCGAAATGCCTGTTCTGTGCCCCCCCCCCCATAATCCCCCCCAAAAATGCCCCAATTCTTATTTTTGTTTTAAAGTTTTAATGAAGATAAATATCACTGTGATTTTGAATATACTTGACATATAAAAGCATAAAATTGCCCAGGCAACAGCTCCTAGCTCGAAAAAAGTTGGCACAATAAGTCAAGGTACCACTCTGAAGCCAGTTTGATAGACATCAATAGACCGAGAGAAAAGTGTTCCTCTGGGTCTCATGCTGCTTCTGGTCTTCCAACAGCGGCGAAACAGTTCTTCATCGGGCCGCGTCACTGTGTCACAGGACCATCTGTCACTACCTGGTAGAAGCGGGAGCCTCGCTGATGAAAACCGACATGCAGGTTGGTTAAGAAAAAAAAAATCATGCAGGGAACCTCCCTTACTCAATATAGAGATATATTTCGCAAAACAACGTCCTGAAATGACATTAAATCACTAATGAAGGGCACAAAAAAAATACTTGATTTGTCTGACCGTGTATTGTACGGCGCCTGTCGCCAGCATTTAGCGGCAGTTCCAGCTTTAGCGGATAGCTGCTAGCAGCTAGCAAGCGCCATTGGATTTTTTTCAAAGACAGTTTGAATAGACATACATCACTGTGCACACTTTGATGCAGACAGCCTGACAGGCTTTCTGCATCCATTTTTATTCGATTTTTTGGATTTGATCGCCGCAGCCCTCGTCACTATTGAAGAGGAGCCTGCCAAACAAAGCCGAGTTCAGAGACAAAGACAACAGTGCTATTCCTCCGGAGGCCTTCCGGGACGTCATGCACCACTGTAAACATTCCGGTGTGTTTTACTATAAGAAGCTAGTGGTCAAGAGGTTGAATGCTGAAACAAAAGAAGAAAACAAATATGAAGGATGACGATTGGCTGCTAGGCTGCCTGAGAACTGTGGAGGATCTCTCGAGTAAGACAGTGAACCCCCAAACTGCTCAGGGGTATTTCATCTTCTGGCATCTCTCCCTTGCCTGCATGGCGATGTGGATGTTTTTTTGTGTTTTTTTTGTCGTGTAATACATGCAGTCACTGTAAGCCAAGTTTAATTATATAGCACCATTCACACATGAGACCAATCCATCGTGCTTGACAGAGGCGAAAAAAATGAAACTCATTGAAAAGATGAAAATTCAAATAAAATCCAGACAACTAAGCAGCATAAAAGAAAAATATAACAAAATTGCGTCAATGATAGGTGATCAAGTTAAAAAAAAAAAAAGTGGGGGGGGGGGGGGGGGGGAAGAAAAAAAATTGATTGATGGAAAAAGTGGTGGTGATTTTCAAGGCAGATTGAAATGTAGTGACAGTCTGAGGAGATGTCAGCGGGTGTTCTTGGAATGTTTGTCATGGAATGCCTTGCATGTTTTTGGAATGCGGGAGGAAACCGGAGCACCCGGAGAAAACCCACACAGGCACGGGGGGAACATGCAAACTCCACACAGGAGCCGCAATCAATCCCCGCACCGCTGCGCTGTGAGGCCAACGTGCCAACCGGTCGACCACCGGTCGACCATTCCCCGAGTTTGATACCCATCCAAAATTTTCAACACCACTTATCCCAAAGAGAGTCGCGAGGAGTTGCTGGAGCCTATGCCAGCTGACTTCAGGCAGACTACAACCTTGAACTGGTCGCAGGTCACATCTCAAGACAAACAACCCCTCACACTCACATTCACACTGTCACCGAGTGGGAATCGATCCCACGCCGCCTACACACAAGTCAGGCGAGTGTACCAACACACCGTCAGCGACTGAATAAGCAAGCGTTAGATAGAAATATACACAATAAGTGTATCAACAAGTCCAAAAATTGCCTGTCCGCAGGGTGACACCCCAAAGAACCGGGCCGAGAGGGCTCACGATGCTGAGCTGGCAGCTTACCTGGAGAATCGGCAGCACAACCAAATGATCCAGAGGGAGGACCAAGAAACGGCCGTCTAAGCCTTTTCAGAACCACAGCGAGAGAAGCTGCCGAGTGACGGTGGAGCTGTGCCAAAAGTCGCCATGATGAGGACACGTCAAACACGTATTGATCAAGAAACAACTCAGGACATTTCCTGTAATCTGAGTGGAACATTAACAGATGTCTCGGACCTTTTTATTGGATTTTTTTTTTTTTTTTACTTTTACATTTTGAGTTACCGAAATAGCCATGAAGGGGCCATTCATGTGATGTTTGTTTTTTCTTTTCTTTTCTGTTTGGACCCAGTTTCCCTCCACATGACTGACAAAGCAAAAACAAAACTAGAAGCCTTTAGAAAGTGTTTTGCAATTCTAGTTGTACTTTTTGTTGTTGCCTTTTTTTTTACTTAAGTGCGCATAGTAAATTATTTGTTAAGTTGCTTACACGGCAGCTAGCCAAATATTCACACACCAAAAAGAAAGAATAAGAATCACATTTATTTGTTCGAAAACTTTAGAAATTGATGTTAACATCTCTAACTCGCGAGCGCATTTACTTTTATTCATACTTGCCAATAATATCTGACAATTAAGTTGATACACTGGTTGTGTTTGTTGTTTTGACGTATCTAATGTAGTTTTTGAAATTGTCATGAGGTAATAAAACATTTTCCAGTGGTTTCAGTTTGCATACTTTTGAACATTTTTGTCCAGCTGCTACCACAGTTCCAAAAGGATAAGCTTTAAACCATCAGATAGTTTTCTCAATCAAAAGGAAATACTCCACTGTTATCCTATCTGGAGGGAATAAAGACCTGGATAGCACTAAATTTTCTAGAATTTCAATGAAAAGAAGACAGAAGTGATGGTGTTTGGTCCCAGTGGCCCTTGAACATCCCATCCTGTAGACTTGGGCCCCCTGGCTCCTTATCTTAAGCCAACAGTCTCCATCTTGTGTCTTAAACTGGACCGTGATTTTAATTTGGTGCCGTTGTCAAATCCAGCTTCTTTCGTTTTAGGTAGCTGGCTAAAGTCAAGCCTCTCCTTTCTCAACAGCACTTTGAAACAGTCATTCATGCCTTTGGCGCATCTCGGCTGGATTTCTGAAATCCGCTTTACTCTGGAGTCAGCCAATCCTCCATCAAATGCCTCCAGTTGGTCCAAAATGCTGCTGGTCTTCACTGATACTTGTAAGAGGGAGCACTCCTACTCTGGCTCCCTCTACATTTCAGAGTTCTTTTTAAGATTCTATTATTTGTTTTCAAAGTTTAAATGGCCTGACCCCACTTTACCTCTATGAGCTCCTCCGCCCCTACGCAGCCGTTGGGTGCCTCAGGTTTGGGGACCAGACACTACTCGTGGTACCGAGAACTAATCGCAGGCTCACAGGGGATGGAGCCTTTTTCCATTGTCTGTCCCTCTCTTTGGAATGATCTCCCACTGAACATTCGGCAAGCCCCCTCGCTGCCCATCTTTAAAACTCATTTTTAGTCTTTGGCTTTTGACTCGGAATGAGACTCGATTTTAATTTGACTCTTTTTGCGCTTTCTATTGTCTTCGTTGTTAATTGTTTATTGGTGTGTGAATTCGTTTTGCTCCATGGACAGCACTTGGTATTCTGCGGCGGCTGTTTTAAAGTGCTCTCTAAATCCAGCTGGGTTGAGCATTCATTTTGTATGACATTATGCACTAGATGTCAGTGACACCAGAGGTCAAAGATCATTACCTGTTTTTCTTCCATTTTCTCTGCTGGCCATGTTATTACATCGTCAGAAATATTTGTCCTGAATGTCAGCAAGAACCCCGTTTCTTAGAAGTAATATCGAAACAAAGATAGCTGGGCTCGCTGCATTCGTTGTGCCAAATTTAAATTGAGAAGACCAAGTCATGTACAATAGAGCAACTGGTTTGGGCCCGTACAAAAATGTGATTGTGAGCGCGTTAGGATAATGCACGGGCAGATTCCGAGTGTAAGGAGACTAATGTGTAAGATTGTGTAAATTGACTTCTGATTTCCTTCATTCCAAATTATGATTTGACTCGACGTGCTTAAAAGTGAGTGGGGGACGCGACTCGACTTGATTTTTGCCATAATTGAGTCACTTGGGTCTTGCTTCACCCTTTCAGGGACCTCGGTTACGACAGTGGACGGCTTCTCATGTTAGCACGTTACAGGGCGCATGAAAGGGTTCAAATTTTAATCTGTAAGGTTTATGACTTGCACATCTGTGACCCATGCCCCCCCACCACCGGTGTCACCAATACAAAAGTAGGTAATCCTGGGTTGCCATGGTAACCACGGAGATGCTATTGTCCTTATTATACGCCGCCCAAGTGAACTCAATACTTTCGAGCTATGATTTTTAAGAAATTTGACGACGGCCCTGTTATGCAAGCGAATCAATCTTCACACAGGACGCACTTGCTAATAACTGCAGTGACCACGTGATCATCTTCAAATGCATTTCTTCAGAACCGTGAAGATAAGGGTCTGAATGGAGCTAATGCAACCAGAATGAACTGGTTTGGGAGACAAAGGCAAGGGGGTTGCCTAAGGGCTAGGGGAGGCGAATCGTTTCAGATGGGCTGCATTGGCCGTGATCTGATGCTCGCAGAGAGAAAGAACTCGACGAGAAAGTTGACGCCCTCGACCTCCACTCAAGTCCCGGCTGCCCCGCAAGTAAGTGCTTCCATGTCTTTTTCTTTTTTTTTATTAATCTGTCTATTGTCTTTTTGAAGTGAGAGGGAGAAAGAGCGAGACTACACATAGAAGGGAAAAAAAGATTTATTCAGGGTGTAGTGAAGAAGGGTTGGGGGGGGGGGTTGTGTGTTTTCGGTGCAAGTTTTTGTGTAACCTGGAGCAAAACTGGTCAAGGCAAACCACTTGAGAGAAGTTTTGTTGTTGTTGTCCTGAACATCATCGACACATGGTTGGGGATATGCAGTGATGGGGCCTCGGCGCGAAGAAATAATTAAGTTCAAGAAATGTAACTCAAGTGGAAGTATTATTGCTCCCAAAACGGGGTGTGTGTTTGTCTGAGCCGTTATCCGCTGACAATCACCCGCCTCCCAACAGCCCCCCCACTTAGCTCCCCTTTTCTGTCCTTTGTTTATACTGTCCCTCAACTCCTCGTGTGCCGTAATACTGACACTTTTTTTTTTAGGGGGGGTGGTCAAAATACCGCCTGTGTCAGGTGTTTTTTCCATCAAACTCATAGGAGCAATGACCACTGACTACTTGCGCTTCTCTGGCCCTTACCTGGAATTGTTGATTGACAGTGCTGATGTTTCTCTCCATACCAGAGGTGGAAAATTAATTTGTGTCCTTTCACTTTCTCTTGGAGAGCCGTGATGACTGGAAAGGAAATATTTGCGCACCTCCTCGTATCAGTACATGTACAGTTCACAAACAAAATGATGGATAACTAACGTTGAAATCAGAAGTCAAGAATAATAGTTTGTTTTGACTATTGTTGAAGTTATTGTAATACGATCACACAAAAAAATGCTCACAATATCTCATTATTCCTTACATGTGCCAATTTGAAATTTTGGTACAGATTTTAAGCAAGCATCATAAAAGTTGACATTGCTTGATTTGCTTTCGGGCACCACATAAAATGATATGGCTGTACAGATCTGGCCCCCCGCCCCCCGAGCCTTGAGTTTGACACCGGTGCTTTATACTGTCTGTACCCCATAATTGACTATTAACCAGTCCCAGGTGGAGTCTCTCTTTTGCAGATGTGACGATATCTTGCTTGTCAAAAAAATATCCAAAGTGGTCTCCCCAAAAATATATTATGACCTGCCCCCACCCCCTGAGAAAAAAAAATGCAAAGAGAGGAGGGTGAGATGATAACCGCGAGAATAGAATGGCTTTGCCTTGACAGCATAACCATGGAAACTATTATGCATGATTGCAAACGTTCTGAAGACCTCAACTCAACTCAAGTGTTTTTCTAGAGCACTTTCAAACAACCACCGCTGTATACAAAGTGCTGTGCATAGAGCAAATATCATATACACAACAATAAAATGAATCACGAAGAAAGTAGAAAGCACAAAACCAGTCAAACTAATCATGTCTGAGTCATGCTGAAATGGCAAAGGCCAAAGAATACAAACGAGTTTTGAGGCCAGTTTTCAAGACGGGCATGAAGGTTCATTCAGTGTCAACACAAAGATGGCATCGAAGAACACCTCCTTCTTCATTCAAAGCTAAGTGAATGTGCCCGATGGGAAATGCATGGAGGAATTTTGTGGTCAGGTTACAGTACATTTAGCAACTCAACGAGAGCCAAGAAACTCTTTTTGGGATCATTTGGAGTCCACCTACTAAAGGTGACCTTAAGTTATTTTTCACTGCAAAGAAAATGAGAGAGAAAGAGAGGTAGTACAGGGGCAACTTTCCACCTTCCTAACTTTAAAATCAGTAATTGCTCCTCGTACTGGAACGTTTTCAGGATTTGAAATGATTTCAAACAAAATGTAGATTTTAGCCTCTATGTGTCGCCGTATATTGTAAATCTAATCTACCAAGGCCCTTGGCATCAATATTGCTGGCCCATGTCACTTCAACCGTTCTTTAACCAATCAGATTTCAAATTCATCCTCCCGGGGGGCCAGAGTGCTGGCCCTTACTGATGTCATCATTTTTCCATCCTGGTTGCCAGCCAATCGCAAGGTACATCTGAACAAATAAGCATTTCTACTCGCATTCACACCACCAAATGATCCTAACGTGCAAATAATCCACCAACAAAAACATTGCCGTTTCCTCTCTATCATGTTTAGAAGCAAATCCACTTCTACTTTAACGAAACAGGAACCCTTTAATACTGTAATTAATGCCGTATTAAAGTCAGTCCAGACCAACTTAGAGTTGGTGACATAGAGTACACACCAAAAGGAGTCATAAGAAAAAAGCTTTAAGTACATAAGAGTGGATTAGAGTCGAACCAGACATGCCTGCCAGCAACGCATAATATTCGACCTCATTCACAGAGAAGCAAGAGAAAGAGAAGCACTGCAACAACTCAGTGGGGCTTGTGTGTATCTTAAATGCTGTCCATAACATTCGGTCGAAAGAAAGTAGCCTTTTAGAGGGGGGCTTTGTATTGTTTTCAGAAACCTCTTACCTTTACAAAAAAAAAGTAATCACATACTAAAGCAACAGTGCGGCCCGTTCATCCTGGAAGAGTCCCCCCCCCCCCCCCCCCCCCACCGCCGCCCTCTCCCGACTGCCT